CTCACTTCCAAGAAGTAAGCTCTACCTTCTGGAAGTTCCACAGCCTCCCAAAACAGTGCCACCAGCCAGGAACAAGTGTTGAAAACATGAGATTTTGATTCAATTTCAGATTCAAACTGTAACACATAACAGACATTAGTTATTGCCCTCACTCTGATAAAACTGGCATTCTTTGTCTAGAATTAGCTTCCCTCCACAGTCTTACTGTGGCTCCCTTCTGGTTAGAACTTGCCACACCTCCTCCTCATCACCTGCTAACACTCCTCAGCATCCCTTCTCAACTGACTTTCCTCCCTCCCTCCGCTTCCAATGCAGTCATGCCATCATACTATCTACAAGGACGTGGAGCTACTCTATGATGATTACTCAGGGAAGGTCGACTACAACGCTTCCTAGAATTACAGGATAGATACTGATCGTGGGATGTACCCCACCACCACACGCACACACCCCAAACTAGAGCTGCTGAGCTAAAGGGGAGCCAACACTGTAGGGGAGCAGTGGAGAGGCTGGACAAGAGACCCCCCAACACACTGTCTTTGAGTTGGCATGTGACCCAATGCCACCCTCTTCATAGTAAAGCTGGAAGGTGTGCAGTCCTCGAACAGAGAGAAAACCTCGCCACGAGATGATGCTCCTCCTAAATGTACAGTCCGGATGACGGAAGTGCTTGCCTCTTTCCTTGGAAGCTAACACCATCCTTCTGCTCCGATCTCCCTCCCTCCTCCTTTCTCCATAGTCGCAGGGTTTTCCTGTCCACTCTCCTCCTTGTTGTCTGCTTTTCTTTTCCTCCCTTTCCTCCACTCCCTTCCCTTTCTTGTATTAACTTCCACTTGGGTCCCCCTGATGAGGCTGGAGCAGTGAGCCAGCTACACAACCAGTGCCTGAAAGGGGAGCCTGAAGGAGACAGCCGGCCTGCCTCAGCTCAGACAAACAAACCTAATGAAAGAGATAGGAATTTCACTCAGTGTCACATTGTTTCTCTGAATCAAATTGAATCTGACTCCCAGAGCACAGACAATAAGATGGCAAGAAATTTAATTAAAATGGTTTAATTAGAGCAGCGGAGAGGAAGGCAGCAGCTTTTGGGAATGTGGCTTGATTAAAGGTCGTTTGGAAATTAAGTTGAAATCATCTTGACATGGCCGAGGTGACCGGATTCTGGTGGTAGCCAGACTCTAGGTTGGTGCTGGTTAATGACATATAAAGGTAGACTTGAGAAGTGTGAGGGGGTCCTGATTCCCACTGGGCCACATTCTCTTTGTGGGTCCAGTCATTGGATGGCCGAGACCATGGGGGAGCTTGGGTGTGGAATTGGCAAAGCTTGCAATCTCCTTCCAGTGTGTGCACCTGGTTGGCACACAGCTGGAGAAGATGTGTGTAGGGAAGGAAGTACCACCTCCCTTGCCCTCTGGACCACTGGTGAAAGAAACTCCATCCCTCTCCACCTGGGCTGCCCATCTGTCTGAGAAATCGGAGATCACCCCGTCATAAACTCCAAACGGGACTGGTACTGTTTACATACAAACACCACAGATCACACAGTTAGCATGACTCCCGTGTTTGAGTGAAGATGCCTTTTCCTAATGGCGGCTCCTTTCACCCACAGCTTTAATTAATGTGAAAACGCTCTGTAAACAAAGGCCCCTAGGAACAGTTGGCTAGTCCCACACTCGATCTTCTCAGGACTCTCACTGAGGGAACGGTAATGTGGGAGACCTCTCCGGCTCTCCGTTTGTAGCAGTCTCATTGCTGAAGGCACCATGGAATTGACATGAAATGTAATTCTTTCTTCTGAAGGAGGAAGAAAAAAAAAAAACCTCTAAATAAATTAAGAGCTGACTCATAATTGTGATTTACGTTGGCTTTTTAATTTGAACATTTTAATTGCTTACCTTACAAATTGAGCTTTAGCAAAGTAAAATAAGAAAGTCAGATTTACAACTTTGCTCCTACCTTCAAAGGGCTGTGCTTGGGGACGTCTCTGAGATGCGGAAGACACGTGTCCTCTGTTTCCAATTATCCTTGCCCACATCCTCTCTTACATCCAAGTTTCTTTCTCATCCTATGTGTGCCCTGGAAGACATTTCAGTGACTTAATTAGTGCAGCTTAGACAAGGAGAACAGAGAGAGAGAGAGAGAGAGAGAGAGAGAGAGAGAGAGAGAGAGAGAGAGAGAGAGAGGAGCCTGCCCTCCCAATTCGTAGTCCCCGGGGAAATTAAGGACGAAGGTGGGACAGGAGCCCCTCTTCTAGAGAAGCCAGTGCCCAGGTGAGAGGCACTCAGAGGCAAAAGCCACACTCTGGTCAGGGTCCCTCCCTGTCGTCCTCCAGTCACTACCTGAGTCTCATCAACGCTTGCCAGCCCTGAAGCACAGTCCTTCCCACAAGAAACCACCGCTGGCCCCCAGCTTGACTGTCGGCATCCTTCCTGACAGCCAGAGAAGACCCAGGACTGCCGCCCTTGCTTTTCTTGTTCCTTCACGGTCACATCACGACTGGGCGCGGGGATTGTATCCATGTGGAGGACAGAGATCAGCTGCTGGCTTTGTTCTCAGTTGCTATCCACCTTGTGGTTTGGTTTTTTACTATTATTATTATTATTATTATTATTTTGTACACTTTTAATTAAATATAATCGTATCATTGTTCTCCTTTCCTTTCTTCCCTCCAGGCCCCTCTCAAGTCCCTTCCTTCCAGCTCCTTCCATGTCCTGCATCCTCTGTTGGTCCACCTTGTTTTTTGAGACAGGGTCTCTTACTGGCCTGGGGGCTGGCAGTTCAACTAGGGTGCACGGCCAATTGTGTCCAAAGGACCTGCTACCTCCGTCTCCCTAACCCTAGGATTTCAAGCACCGACCACCATGCCCAGCTTTTTTATATGAGTTCTGGGGAACCACAGCAAGGCTCTCACATTTGTAAGGTAAGCACTTTTACCCTCAGAGACCTCCCATCAGCCCACATCACACCTTCACATAGTCCCCTTTGCTTTTAATTCCTTGACTTTACTTTTTATTTTCTGCCCTCATTCAACCCCCCCCCCATTGTGATGGTGAGCACCAAGGGTAGGGAGGGACTAACTCTTGCCTCAATAGGCTACAGTCCCTGGAATCGTACCCAGTGCCCAGTAAACACGTAGTGAATGGAAGAATGTCCCCTCCAGAGGGGTCCGGTGCTCCAGGCTGTTCTGAAAGGTCTTCTCTGCTGGATGCTGAGGTCTGCTCATGGGTTACTCCAAAGAAGCCTGTTTCTAAGATCTGTCCAGAGGAAGCTGCCCCGAGGAGACTTCACAGGGACAGAATGAAGTAGTCCTTGGATTATTTCTTCAGTGGAGGAAATTGGCATGATCTCAAAATGAATCTGGTGTCCAGTACACAGAACCATTTTTTTATTGACCACTCTCATAAAATGACCCATAACTCATATCAGGAAACCTTGGAGGCAACATACCACCCTTAGTATGACATAACACCGGACTTTTCCCATAAGGAGAAAAATTAATGTTCTGTATTCTTGAGGCCAATCTCTGAGCAACTGCAACAGACAATGATTTTCATCTTACTAAGCATGTGTTTTCTCTGTTTAAATCTTTAGTTTTTCCAAGGCAGAGATTTCACCACATCATCTTTGTCTCTCACAAGCCTGCGCATAGGGATATTTGCACAGTCAAATCCAGATATAAAAATGTGTGCCCCCTTAGTTATGCATACATGTGCTCTATTATTGGACAGAAATTATTTATCTATTTATTTATTATGTATATATTGGGTTTTTGCCTGAATGTATATCTGTATGAGGGTGTCAGGTCCCCTGGAACTGGAGTTACAGACAGTTGGGAACTGCCATGTGGGTGCTGGGAATTGAACTCAGGTCTTTCGGAAGAGCAGCCAGTGCTCTTAACCACCAAGCCATCTCTCCAGCCTGGAAGGAAATTCTTATTGGTAGATGATATGTACAAAACTCAGAGAGTGATAAAAAATAATGCTGTTTTTCATGAAGCTAGCTTATCAGTCCACAGAGGACTCACCTTGGATGGTCATCACAGAATGACCATGTGACACCGTCTGACTCTCTGCCTTCCTCTACTCTCCCCATGATTTCTTTTTCTACTTTCAGCCCCGTTTTCAGGACCAGCCTCATCCTAGACATCAATGGGCCATCTTTGCCATGTGTTGCGAGGATAGGCTTTTAGCTCCCTAGATTTTGCAGAATACAGTATTTGTAAAAAGATATCACGACTGGATTTAGCTGTCTAGACTACAAGCCTTCACAGTGTCTTAGAGAAGGTCATTTCTTTTCAACCTCCCGGAGAAGCTGAAAGAAGTCCAGGCGATGTTCTCAAGGTCAAGGCTCCTTCACACTCCGGGCTCCACTAACCTTAGCTCATCACTCCCATAACTGCTATGATCCAATGTGTCCCCAGTTCTCATGTTGAAAACCTAATTGTCAAGGCAATGGCGCTGAGATGGGACCTTGAAGAGATGATTTGGGCACAGCCCTCATGCATTGATTCATGTCCTTACTGCAGGAAGTTGACTCCTAACTAAAGGATAAATCCCCCCCCCCCTCTGCCTTGCCTTGGCTTTCTGGAAAGAAGACCCTTGTCAGTGTAAGGTGTTCAAGCCTGGACTTAGCCCCCAGAACGGTAAGAAACAAATCTCCATTCATTATAAGTTACCCAGCCTCAGGCACTGTAAACAACATAGAATGAACTAAAGTGACCTTCAGGGTCATCTCGAAGCTCATGGTGGCAATAACACTCTTGTCAAGGCAGACAGCAGAGAAAAGGAAGCAAAGACAAAAACCCATCTGGAGTGGAGTCGACTCTTTCCCTAGGAGTTCTCAGAGGCCTGGCCCACGGACTGCTGCTTACATCCCATCAGTCAATGCCATCTACAAGGATGGCTAAACATATGCTATGGTGCAGCCTGGCACACAGCTGTCTGGAATAAAACTA